GAAATATCGTCGCCCCTCTGGAATTGTCTTTCTTCACTGTAGCTACCTGCAGCCCTTCTTGGAACTAGTTCCAATAGGTAAAGTGGAGCAAACCACTCTACAACAAACTGGCGCCCGAGCATACCCAGTTCGAACGTCACAAGTGAGAGTATTTCTAACCAGTTGAGACGGTGGTGTAGCGGTCTATCGCGCTTATATTCATTTATAGGCAAGTTTATGAGTCTGAGACTGCTGGGTTTCGAATCCCAGACCAGACCATGTGGATTTTTAATTAAATCGCATGGTTCGGTTTAGGATTTGATGTGTGGCGTATTAATAGAAATTAAGTTTCTGTTGATGACATGCAGATTAAAAAAATTCGCCATACATTACCGTCTCGATGATGGTGGGTGAGGTTTTCCGGGTTTTCCTCACCTGTAAGTCAAATGGCACCATCAATCATCTTTAAGTCGCCCCGGAGCGCCACGGCAAATAATAATAATAGCCGTCCCTTCCCCTACACAAGTCGTTAAGTCGACTTCAGGGGTTGAAATTCACTCGTAAGGGGGTGAATTAGGGAGAGTATTATTATTATTATTATTATTAAAACCTCTCATAATTAATAAACTTTTTCCTAGTTGTAGGACGTCGAAATAACTGGACTACGGATTTAGTTGGATTTATACTTAAACAATATTTGTCAGAAAGTCTAGCAAGAGCTCAGCATTAATTTTTACGCAAGCGTCCTGAATATTTTCCTTTTCAAAGGAAAGGTATAGTTGAGTGTCATCTGCATAAGTATGAGATGCACAGTATTTTAAAGCAAGTGGCAGCTGTGATGTATACATGACAAATAGAAGATGTCCTAAAATTGAGCCCTGAGGAACAACAGAGCAGATGTTTAAGAATTCAGAAGTTGTTTTATTTAACACAGCGGCTTGAGTTCGCTCAACCAAATAACTACTCATTAAGGCGGTAGTTTTTCTTGAAAATCCAAAACAATGCCCGATCGCTAGTAGGAGTTTGTGGTTAATAAGATCGAATGCTTTTGAGTAATCGAGAAGGACTAAGATAGTCAATAAATTATCATCGCAGGTTTTATGGATATCATCAGTAACTTTTAGAAGTGATGTAGTGCAACTATAACTCTTTCTAAAGCCAGACTGATAAGATGGAAGCAGGGAAAACTTTTTCAAGAAATGTCTAATTTGCAGATTAATTAGTTTTTCAAACACTTTAGAAAGGCAACATAGAATACTTATCGTCCGAAGATCAGAGTATGCCTCAGGTTAAGATTTCTTCGCTATAGGTATAATAAAATACTTTTTCCATAGTCGGGGATAGGTACTCTTTTCGATTATGGCATTAAATATATAAGTTACATAGGAAATGATTAAAGGACAAGAATATAACATTTTAATGTATATTTCATCAGCTGAGGTTTAATTGACAATAGTTGTTTGTATACATTTTCTTCTGTTACGGGATTTATTATTAAGCTATCAACATTATTTTTGGTGGAGTTCCTAAAGAACTATAACATTTGATCATCAGGGGGGCTATTTTCAAACTCGAGAGAATTCATTTCCATCAAGAGAAATGTCATACGTCAACGTAAAACCGTATTTTTAGGGCTCTTAGGGCCAGTGTGAACTCACTGACTGTTTCTCTCGGTTTATTTAGAGATAATTAAAATTCTCCTAAGAATTTTAATCCTCGATGTCTTTAAATACAGCGTTTCCACATTGACGTATGACATTTCTGATGAGAATCTTGAGAGAAATGAGTGCTCCCATACTTTGAAAATAGCCCCCCAGGTACTTTAGGTTTGTTCCCGAAGCGAGTTCCAAACTTGTTACAAGCATTATCTGATACGCATGCGTGAGCAGAATAATGTACGGAATGAGTTCTGAATAAATGTGTGCTGGAACGTCAAAAAATTAATGTTGCTGAGTGTTTTAACTAAATACAGGTCATTCAATTATAATTATTCAAAAAATAAGATTTTGATGTTATACTTTATGATCAATTCAAAATTGCACAAATAAAAACTACCCTCCTTATTATATTTTTGCTGTTACAACGCTGTATAAGATTTTAATTAAAATTAAAAGATAATAGACACTCACAAAACTAACCAAAAACCCAATTAAACCCAAAGGAGAAAAAGTAGAAAAATGATTTTAAATAAGCACGCATGCGCGAAAGTTAAAGTTCGTATTTTATTTAGGAACCAATAAAACTAGTAACAAACATGTTATGAATAAGTTTTTAATCTTGCGGAAACATCAAACAAGTTCAATTTGTTTGGAACTTTGCTCTGCTGGAACAGTTATTTTATACTGCGCATACTCAATATGTTAGGAACTCGCTTCGGGAACAAACCTTTTGTTGGACCGTGTAATATTTGTGAAGTATTCATCGATTTTCTTCGCATTAGATATATTTTCAGGAATTTCAATAGTGTGTTTATTATAAACGTCAAGTTTTTTCAGCTGTTTCCAGATGTTATTTTTACTTTGTGTTCTAATTTGAAATTTAAAATAAGCTTTTTTTCCAATTTTATTGTCCTGTTCCTAAGATTTCTTAAATCTTTATAATAGTTGAAATGTATAATCTGCTTACTTTTTTTTACGTAAAGACATCATAAATTTTAAGTTAACAATAAGCCAAGGTGCAGGTCTCTTTGCAATTCTAGCAGTTTTTAAGGGAGCATGTTTATTAAATAAAAAAACCAAGGTATTACTGAAATATTCAACCATGTCATCGACATTATTAAGCATGTATATATGATTTAGATTTGCCATAGTTAAATCTAGAACAAACCTATCGTGGTTAAAATTGCAAAATCTCTGTAAGTGATGGATGAATCTTAATCTGTTTGGTGTTAATACAACAGGAAACGAGATGATGATTAGTGAATGTCGAGAAGTCCACTGTTGCCACATTATCACTTATTAGCTCATTTGATATACATATTAAGTCGAGAAGCGTACTGGATGTAGGACTAATATTGAACGATTATTTTCTATCATTAATAATTACTGGAGTTCTGAAAAATCTCAAATGAGTGTTTCCACTGTGGAGTCAGTGATACAGGTGTATACAAATTTCGACGAAACTTGTAACAAAATGTTTCATTTTCTTCAGAGTAACCCATCTATGCTCAAATCAATATTGGGTTCAGAAAAATACGATTGGTTTTTTAAAATGGGGATGTTAAAAAAGATAATCAATTTCCAAAGTACAACACCGGAAAAGTGTCTTAGTAAAATTTAAGTTCTTTTTATGTTATTTTGCTTTATTTTAACATTTTTCGATGTTTAATATCATTATGTCTACTTAATAAAAATTGTATTTTTATTAAATTTACATATTTGGTCTTTTCATTAATGTTGACATGATATTTCTATAAAATGGCGAATGCGTTCGAACACAATCTTACTTTTTTTAAAAAAAAAAAAAAAAATATGGTCACCGTTATTATAGGAGGGTCATGCTAATATGAGATTCACAAAAACTGTAAAGAAAATTTACGTGTGTTCAAAGTACTCCCCTCCAGCATCAATGCACTTTTGAAGTCATTTTCCACTTATCATTAACAGGGATGGAGTCAAAATATGCATGGATGGCACAATCGATTTCTGCTTCTGAATTAAAACGACGATCTCGTAAATTATTTTTAATTATTTTCAAATTAAAAAATAACCAACAGTAACACATTGTGAGATCCGGCGAGTAGGGTGGATGGATGTTCCAACAACTTTGATGTTGTTTTCCTGCAAGAATCGTAACGTTGCTTATGTAGCATTAATCCTCTTACTGACAGTTCTTAAAGAACAGCCGGAAGGCAAACTTGGATGTACCAAGCGACTGTGACTGTCGTCTTCTGTCCCTCTAATAGCTTTCACAAGTCCCGTACTGCTTACATGACTTTCTTCATTGCACGTTGTCTTTTGACGTGTTGGAACGTCTTAAAAAGGGATATAAGTTTCGTCAACTGTAACAATTTTTGAAATAATTCAATGACCACCATTATTTAGAATTTACAGAGTTTCCCTGCTAATTCGTAAACGCTAGGCTGACAGCAGCCATGTTTTCTGGAGTTACCGCTTTGCATGGTCTTCTTTCGTGCTCTTCATCCTTAAGGCTACTACGACCTCTCCGAAATTGCACAAACCATATATACCATACAGTAGCCCGAAATGGTGCTTCGTCTCCAAATGCCAACACAAGTCTTTCAACACTTTGGTTTTAGGTCAGGCCAACTTTAAAATCATAAAATGTCATAGCTCAGTAATGATCTCTCTGTAGTTCCATGATTCGCACAATTAACTTAATTCTCAAACTGTTAGTTTAAACCTGATAAAGCTGAATGTATACCTGTTTAACAATAAAACATGGTGCTGCAAAAAATGTGGACTAGAAAAAGTTTAAAGCAAATACTTGTGAATCTCATTCATATCAGACTGACCCTTCATAAATTGTTCACTATACAATTGAAAACTGAATTGTTTTGTTTTCTCTCAAACCTACATTCTAGTTAATATTTCACTTCACTTATTTTGTGGTTAAAAATATGTCATTTACCTAATTATAAATAGAAGCAAACCGTAAATGTTTTTGTTGATTTAAAATATTTATAAAATGGAAAATGATTTTGTAAAAAATTCATTTAACTGCAAATATAACAAAAAGTTTATTATGTAATAAGTCATTAAATGCTAATTTTTTGTCCTGCTAAGCTACACTATTATTAAACATAGGGACAAATTCACCTGTCTTGCATTATAACAATATACCTTCATGGAAAGATTTTATAAATATTTGAAACTACATCTAGCTTAATACAAAATACTATCAAGAAAAATATCACATTAAATACTAGTTGCTCAAATGAGATTTAATATGTATAAGTCATTTTTTACTTTTATAAATTAAAATACATGAAAAATCATAGATGTGCACAATATATATATAATGTAGAATAAAAATAATTATGTGCTAATTTCTGTTATTTTTTAGTCTTCTAAAATTTCTTCTTCATTTACCTCATGATTATGGTCATGTGCCACACCATTTTGAATTTCTTCATTCAATTTTTCTGCAAACTTAGTGTCGATTTCTGATATTTGAGTAATAAAATTATGCTTTTGTTCTGCAGTCCATTGTATAAACCATTCTTTGAATAATTTGACCTGAAAAAAACCGAATTTGTTTCTCTGTTTGTAGCACAAAGAATTAAGAATATTATTTCTTCAAAACCTAAAAGTCTAGGTATTTGCTTTCCATTAGCAGTTGTAGAGAAACTGTTATCATGGCAATGATTATGGTAACAAATAAACAAATTAAAATTCCATTTTAAGTTAATGTGTAGTCGCCAAATTATAGATGATACATGAAAGTTCCAATTATTAAAAAAATATAATAAAGATACCTACTTAAGGTAGTTCACTCGCGACAATCCTACATAAAAATGTCCCATAATGGTGAATACCAAAAGTTCGAGATTCTCAAGGCTAAAAATTTTTATTTTTGTAAGAGACTGTACACAACACACATAAGCTTATATACAGTGATGGGCAAATGTGTGGAACCAACTAAATATCTCTGGAATTGTTAGAGATATCGAAATGAAAATTGGAAGGTAGGTATTACATTAAATTGCGTATTTGATTTTTTTTTTTTTTTTTTAACAATTTTGAACTTCCGGTTTAACCGGAAGTAATATCGATTTTAAATTTTTTAATGAAACACCCTGTATATTATTTTAATTTCGAATAAAGTATTTTATTACGAATTCAAAAATATCGGGTTCAATATTTTTTATTTCAATGCCAACTGAGATTTAACAAAAACATAACTAAAGTAAGGAAAAATCTAATGATATCTAGTAGTCTAATTGAAGAAGTTAATAATAATTATTAATTAAAACTAAATGAATTACAAAGCAATGAAATGAAACAAGAATACCATGTAAACGAAACTAAACATAATATATTAAATGTTCAAACTGAGCACAGTTTACTTCTTGACAATAGGCAAGTCGAGTTGTACATTCTCTTGTAACATTAGCTATTACTTCTGGTGGAATTCTCTAAATCTCTTGTGATATTCCTTTAGCTAATCCTTGCAAATTATTTGGCCTGTTAATATAAACCTCGAACCCCATAGAAAATAGTCCAGTGGATTAAGGTCGGGACGTCGCGCAGGCCATTCATAAGTACCTCTTCTTCCAATCCATCTATGATGAAATGTATTATCTAAACGATCTCGAAATATGCGAGCGTAATGAGGTGGTGCCCCGTCCTGCTGGAACCAAATATTATTTGGCAGATGTCCATTTACCTCCAGTACCGGAAGCACTTGTCTATCTAAAAGTTCTAAATAGGGCTCGGAATTGTATTCGGTTATTTCCATAATTCGAATATTCGAATACTCAAAATTCGACATTTTTAGATCGAAATTATTCAAATAGTCGAATATTCGAAAGTAAAATATTCGAATAGTCGAATATTCGAATTGTCGAATATTCGAATAGTTGAACATTCGAATACTCGATATTCGAATATTCGACTAATTCAACTAGGTATTCGATACTCAAATATTCAACTATTCCAATACTTAAATATCGGAATACTGTGAATGTTCAAATACTTGGATATATATTTTGAATTCATTTATGTACCTAATTTAAATGTTTCTTTTTTATCTATTGCTTAAAAATAAAGGTAGAAGAAAAACGACTAACAAAATTCTGATTTGGGATTTGGGACTATTACGTTACGGCAACATTGTATTTATTTATTTCCTTGTAACGCTGGCGTTTTATTTGGTAAATGAGGGGAACCCCAACATTGTTTCACATTCGCACTTTTCACACGCTTGTTTATGTTTGTTAAGTTGTGATTTACTAGTTATTTTATTCCTATTAGTGTGTGTATGTCTGTCAACGCTTGCCTGCTACAGGTGTTAAATAAGAGTTCAGAACGCAGTAAGATTTGGCTTTACTTCAATAAAAAAGAAAATCGTGTGCCGCGTAAATTATGTACTTACAATGTCATACACAGAACTAATACCAGTAATTTGTGGATTCAATTAAGAACTAAGCATCATACCATTACTTCCGGTTAAACCGGAAGTTCAACATTGTTATAAAAAAAATAAAATAAAATAGACAATTTAATGTAATACCTACCTTACAATTTTCATTTCGATATATCTAACAATTCCAGAGATATTTACTTGGTTCCACACATTTGCCCATCACTGTATATGGATACGTTATAATTTCAAAGTAAATCCATCCAGCAACGTCGCAAATATATGAATGGTGGTATAACAATTTGTAAATTCCTCATACTAATTTTAAGGGTTTGTTTTGGTTCGAACAGAACTGCTGATTTCAGTTCTCAAATATAATGGACGATTTAATTTTTCAAGAACATGTCGTGAGGTTATAACAACCTCTTAGCTGGTCGAGTGTAATTCAGTGATTCTGAACTAGTTTCCAAAAAAACTAAAACAAGCCGAAATTAATCTAACTTCTCTACACTTCGACTGCTTTAAAAATATGTTTATTTTAAAAATCTACATTTTTACCAAAACAGTCAACAAATTCAACGTTTTTTTTTTTTTTATTTATAACTTCTTGATTTACATTACATTAGTTTTTAAAAATATATAAGAACCATTTTCGAGATATCTTGAAATAAATGCATTGCTTGTGTACATGACCGGTTTTAGGAGTGTTAATTATGCACATTTTGATTGTTAATATCTCGTTTTACACACGCAAAAATTTAACTTTTTTTTTTTAAGTTATGTAAAAGACGATTTCATTAACCTTATATGAACTCATAAGAAAAGCCGTTCTACGAGTGAACTACCTTAAGTTATTAAAATTTATCAATATCAGATTTGAATTACAATTATTCTAAAATAACAAATATATTCAAATTACCATAAAATTTAATTTTTTTTCTGCTAATCCAAAAATGTGTTGTTTCTAAATTGTCTATTAGGGTAGTGACAACTGTTGCCATAGCATCAATTTCTCCATAACTTAGGTATTTCAGTTAAACAGAAGTTAACCCCAGCTAGACTCTTACTATATGATGAGACTACAAGGAATTGTAATTTTGATACTATAATTTGTGCAGATAAACTAAAAAGTTAAACAATAATCTGTATTTCATAAATGCACAAATAACATTAGGATGAAATGTTGTCATAAAATTAAAAGCATGGACAGAAGGGGGACAGGCTTTTGGTAGGTGGAGAGATGGTAAATGTCAAAAACCTTTGGACGATTTCTAGAATTGCACAGTAATGTTTATCTGCCAGTGTTGTATCATAGAATAAGTCATTTTAATTTGTTACCAACTGAACCGAAAAATTGTATGTATTTATGGACTAGAAGTAATTATTTAAACAAGTATTATATCATAATTCTACAAAATTTCCACATGATTTATTACATTTTTCACATGATTACACGAAATTGTTATTAGCATCTATAAAATAGTCTACTTCAATGTGTTCACTTCAGTTAGCTCCGCGGCAAAACTGTCAATTCCTATGTATCAAGTGGGAGAACTGTGAAAAGCTTTTCCAACTTTTGTCCCTGCTCTAATTCTGAAACTTTATATGGTTCAATTAACAACTTCTTTCTTTATAGTTCAAATAATACCTAAATAGTAATGGAACTATTATGCTACCTTGTAGCAGGTAAATATTCTTTATGTTAATGTTAATACAGTTTATCATTACCATGAAATATCTATTAAAAGTTAAATATATTTAACAAACCCTTTTAACTTAATCTGGTTTTAAAATAATATATAGATACTCAATATTCCATATTTAATACCAGTTAAATGATAATTATTTTAGATTAAAGTAATTTTAATCAACTTAAAAAGGGCAAAACAATTTTTCCTAATAATCAACTGGTGAATTAGAAGTACAATAATAACCCTAAGTGTATTTTACCAGGTAACTACACGTAGTAAAGTTGTAGGATGAAATCGAATTCTAAAAAACTACTTGAAATAAAATGCTTACTCTACACTCAAACAAAGACATTGGTTTATCTCTGCAGTCAATATTGGAAATGCTATTAACAATCCCATTAACATAAGCCTTGTTTGCATATTTCTCTGCTAAAATCGGCAGAAAATCTGATCTCTGAAATTCACTCCATTCTTGAAACCACTGCACCAAGTACCGGATTTGAGCATCTGCACTCAACATTGTCATTTTGTATACTAGTAATTTAGAAAGTCTCTGTATTCAGTTACTAAAATAGAATTATTTTGGGATTAAAAAAAGGATGCGAGACAAAAGAGAAAGCTTTTATCATGACTGGCAAAGTTTATGGAGTTATTTTATAAAAAAAAAACATCCGACGTGTTTTTATTACAGGATACAAAGAAGTATTTGACTTACATTGTTTATATTAGTTGAACTTCAGTTCCTTACAATATTTTATAGCATTTTAAATGGAAATGAAAAGAAACGGTAAGTGTAATGTGCATCAATCTAATTGTTTTCTATTCCACATTCCACCGTTCGTTGCTGAACCGTACACAGGTGTAATCCACCGACCTTTATTAGGCATTGGCATAGAAAACTCCGCCATTTTGAACCCTTATTACGTGTTGCCTACATCTTGGCGCAATATTTTTAATAGGTGCGTTTTAATCATCCGCTTCTCCTTCGGAATTGTCAGTTTTCTTGTTTTAATCTGACAGGTTAAAACGACTAAACCGACAATTCCGGAAGCAGAAGCGGATGATTAAAACGCACCTGATATTTTGCTTGCTGCTGTCAGTGTCAGTCACATACTTTTCAAAGTATGTGGTGTCAGCCGTGTCAGCACATACCAGGGGCTCGATTCTCGAGTTCATTGGAAAATTTTCCCATGGGAAAAGATTCCACTACTTATATTCCCATGGTAATAGGTTATGCAATTCTCGAACTTGTCGGAATAGACATTCCCATGGAAATAATAGTTTCACGTATGTCTGATATTAAGTTCACGAATATTTCGAAATAACCAATAACATTAAAGATATTTTAAAATTTACTGTTGGTATTATTTGTATTTGTTGTGGTTTTTGGGTAACCGATTACCTGCCGAGCCTCTGCGCTGGAGCAGATGCCGTGCCGAGCAATCGCTAGCTTGACCGAGGACAAGTGAAAATATTCGATTATGTATAATTAAAACTTATCGAGTTATTTTTAGTTTTTCTTTTCACATATTGAAAAAAGAAAAAGTAGCTTTTGTATAGAAGAGCAACGAAAGTTTCGAGAAACTATATATGTATATAAGAAATTCTTTCGTTAACGGAAATAATAAAATTTTCGAAATGGTCTTATTAAATTTACTACAAATTTCTCAATTTGTGTTATCTATTTGCCAGTCCCTTAGCAGCTCCCACAATTTCTAACTAATTTAAGAAAATCAGTTTCTTAGTGAAAGAGAGGTAAAAATAATATACCCACATAAATAAAATAATATCAATTTATAAATACACAAAAAACATGTTTTAACTACAATTTCACCAAAAATCCAAGATATCCAATAATCTGTGGTTATGTCTTAGTCTTTCGCGTGGTCTTTCGTCAAATTTTCGACTTTAATGCGCAAACTCTAGTACAATTCCCATTGGAAAACACAATTTCCAATGCTCGCAAGCAGGGGAATATTTTCCCATACTTCTTATTGGAAAATATTCCACCGCTTATGCCGAGAATACGAAAACTGAATTCCCATGGGAAAATTTTATTTTCCCATGGGAATAAAAGTCGAGAATCGACCCCCAGGGGTAGTATTCTCGAATCACGAATACCGACATTCGCATACGTGTTTCACAATGTGTCTCACTTTGTTGAACGAAAACCAAGTGAGACAAATCATAAATCTCGCATGCGAATCTATATTCGTGACTCGAGAATACTACCCCTGGGGGTCGATTCTCGAGTTGTAGGAATTTGATTCCGAGGAAAATGAATTCCTATGATAATATTCCTACAGTTTTAGTTATCGGTATTCTCGAGTACAATAGGAATCCAATTTCCTGTAGGAGTTCCAATTTCAGTATGTCGTTGATAATTTCAAGATAACGCAAAAACGAGCCAATGGAATGTATTTATTTCAGTTAAATATAGTTGTTTAACAGTTGGCAACAAGGCAATTTGACAATTTGTTAAAAATATTTGATTTTCTGGATGTACTGGTTATTTATTTTTAATATTTTTTATTAGCAGCAAAAAGAGAAAACGAAAAAGTTTCAGAAGGACTACCATTGTGATTACCGTTTTTTATATTTATAAGTAGAAACTAAAGAAAGTAACTAGTACAAATGTTTTTCCTACACCAAAAGGTTAATGCTTGTATCCTCTAATTTCTGATTTGAAATCCAAAAATATAGGAATACTTTCAATATTTAGCAAATTATAGTAAAATTCACAACATACATCATTATAACTTGGTTTGGGCTCCGTCGAGGAATCCTGATGTGCGAATTTTACAAAAAAAAGACTCAAAAGTAACTAGTTTCTTTGGTAAATTTTCATAAAAATTTATGGATTTTGGTTTATTTTATTTATTGACTTAAAGACATTTCAAATAGGATAATTTTACTCGTCAAATTAAAATTAACTTTTAATAATATATGTAGTATATTTCTTTTTTAAATGAGTTTGGAATCGCCTAAAAAATTTGCATAAATCAATAAACCACATTAAACAAGCTACTATTGCGCAAGCGCGATTACAAAATCTTGTAGGAAAATTAAATTCCCTGTCTCATGAGCATGGGAAATCATTTCCTATAACTGCTTAGCAAAATATTCCTACAACTTGACTCCAGAATACGTAACCTACTTTCCTATAGGAAAATCAACCAAATTCCTATAGGAAAAAAGTCGAGAATCGACCCCCAGGTCTTCAACAATACCCGAAACCCACGTGATCTGATAACCATCAAAAACTCATCGAAAGGGCCTGATTTGACGTAAAAGGAACTAAACTAAACTGTCAGTCCTGTCAGAAATGTCTGGCGTTCATTTGGGGACTGAGAATATTTATATTATATTTGTTTACATTTTGTAAATACCTTTATTCCATTTTTCATTTAATATTAATAGAGCAATTAGTTATTTTTAGAGATTATTGGCGGTTTAATTCTTTTTTGTTGGTAAGTACAAATTTATTTACTGTAACTCGTAACAGTTAATGATTGTATATCATTTATTTCAGGTTATGTTACACTAGAACAAAATTATTTTATATTCGTAATTGTATTTCAAAATTTGAAGAACGTTTTCCAGGTGAATAATGGAATGTGATTCTTTTTTGTCGTCACAAACAAATATTTGGTCAAAATTATAAAAAAGGAAAAAGCTCTAAAAGGCCCAAAGTAATAACAAAAGCTGTTGAAGATGTGCAAATTAACATGTTACAAATTGCCAATAAATTAGTAAAAAAAACAGCACTTCAAACAGGTGACTCTGACAAGTGAAATTCAAATTATATTTTTTTTAGGTTTGTCGCTATGAACTAGCCATAAAGTATTGAAAACATTTCTGATAATGCATCCCCTATAAAGTTTCGGTACTGCAACAATCATTTTAGCTTAATTTTGTTAAACCTACCTATTGAATATTACAAATCGCTCAATTCAAAATCGTTTGTGTGACGTTTATGAACTGGGGCACCTATATTAAATAAAATACAAAATATAACTGAGAAGAAACTGCATAATGTGTTCAAAAAAGAACGATTGGTGCTTGCATTAAAGCTAGTGGTAAAGATTGTGCACCACACCGATTACTACTCAATATCCTTTTAAATAAAATTGTTGTTAATAGTTATAATTTAAAGTGAAAACTGTAAGGTAAAACAAATGTGTGCTTGTTACATTAATAATATTAATATTTTTTTGTATACATATAAGTAACAATGTATTTTGTAAATGGTTTAAACCCTGTAAAAAATAAATAATAGAACAAACTTAAATTATTTTTTTATCACTTCCCATTGCCCAGGTACAATTCCAGTAAGTTTTAAATTTGTTTAGTTAAACTGCAATAATTGCCAAGTACTGTCATTGTCTTCTGTTTATCGTATTTAAAGTTTCAGCTGTAACTAAATATCTTAGACTCAGTCTAAAGTAAATAATTTTAAATTTTATTCATATTTTAATGCATAACTTTTTTTGTCCATAACTTTCTGGTAAAGGTTTTTTTTTTTGTAATAGTGGCAATAACTAGTACGCATATTTCAGTTTATTATTCTTTTCGTTAAATACAAACTAGATATAATAGCTCAGTTCACTCGACCATTCACTGTTGGGTACTAATTAACAGTGCTGTTCCTAAAGTGGCGCTGGGAAACAGTAACAAAGCCTACACATGACGACAAAAAAAATAGCTCAGTTTTTAAGGTTATATTATTTCAATTTTAAAAATTAAATTATTGCATTTGACTAAATCTAATTAAAATATCGAATTCTAACATTAAAATACAATAATAATTAATATTATGATTTTGTGTTGTAATTCTAACAGTTAGGGTCTATTTATACTCCCTTATTATTAGTATTTGCATTAGTATTATGATTAAGCATTAAGTTGAACCTTCACAATGTAATGGGGACATTTATACTCGATTTATGATTAGTATTAGCATTAATATTTATGCTTAATAGTTGACAGGTTCAACTTTTAAATTAAATATTAAATTTCTTCTTTTCTATAAAATGAATCAATAACGTATTTGGCCTTTGTTTTTAATAGACAAAGGATAGGGATAATTGACAATACACATATGATTATGTTGTTTATATGTTTGTTCCAACAAGCTCGAAAACGATAATATTTTGGTACAAATCATGCGCTGTATACAATTTTTGTGTATCAGCAGTGTTTACCGATTATAAAGTTGACAAATGACATGTCACCACGAGGAAGCAAAGGCCTCTTTTCTGTCTGATTTGTATCAAATTTCTGCTTCTTTTTATCTGTTATAAATTTGAGACTGAAATCCGTTAAAATGTCCTTAATTAAACCTATTTTTGAATAATAATATTTTTAAATAAAATTAACTAGTAAAAATATTAATAAAAACACATTTAAAACTCAAATATCTTAAAAGAACGCAACTCTGGCCTCTTACATATTTCTTCAGTAACCATATATTTTGTTGACTGCAGAATTATATCTTATTAGGTATTAGGTTTAAAAAAGAATTAC